TCTGTATGCGGAAATAATTGAACATAAATATTCTAAAATTGGTGGTATGTGGATGTCAAAGCAGGATGGGGAGTGAGCACTGTACAGCACCACCCACACTCACTGTAAGAAAGGACAGAGGGCAGAAATTGTAGCCTGATCCATATTACAGTTAAATAAACTAAAATTTTACCTTTAAAAGATAAATTGTGTAACCTCTATGTTGAATCGAAGAGTTCAAGCTTTGGGGTTAGGGAGCTTTCTGTTAAGGTTTGTTAGGAAATGGATCCTGTCTCCTATATGTACTGTTGTGTGAGGTGGTGGGACTTCCTTCCCCCCCTTAAAAATTCAGCCTTGTTCAGTGCTGGAGGTGGATAGATGAAGGTGTGGATAGATGAAGGTGTGGGGAGCAGATCAAGTGTTTTCTGCCACTGATGAGGAGTGGGCTTTAGTACCCCCCAGTGCCTGCTCTCAATGGTCTCCATGCTTTAGTTCCTGTCAGACAGTGCTGTGAACCAGTTCTGTTCTCTGATCTAGAGCAGCAAAGTGAATAGTTTTCTGCTGAGCCATTGAGTTACTGTGCAATCAGATGAGCATCAGGCAGTAGCAGGAATGGTGCAGGAGTGTGTGCCAGGAGCAGTGGCAGAGGAGAGCGGGGGGCTGGACTCATCCGTGGCAGCAAGCTCATACATTGCTCAGCTGTGTCATGTCTCCACATTTGAAGGCTGAGCAAATAATTACACATTTCACATTTTTTCAGTCTTTCAGTATTCAATTTAATTTTATAATATAAATATTTTCTCTTTGAAATACAGTGTATGAAATATCTAAGAATAATTTTCTGTAAGTACGTAATGTGCTGCCAGTGTGGAAATGGAGTTCTTGACAGAATCTGTCTTGTGTGTGCAGTAGCAAAAGCCTGTGTGAATTTGAAAAAAGCTTGGAAACAACTAATCAGTTTTTGAAGTCATGTTACCTTTTAATTCCTGCTTGAATTAGTTTAGAGAACTAAGTTTTGCTCTTGTTGGTAGGTAGGTTTTTTTGAAAGTCTTTAATTCTGGAAATGTTTTGGAAAAATCCCATTTGGAATCCTTTTTATCTTCTGACTTGTGTTTTAAGGCTTTTTTCCTCTTCAGTGCCATCAGTAGCTCAGACTCCTGATTCATGTTTTGTCTCACAGGGATAAACACCATTTTTCTCTTTCTTTCCAGTTGCAAGTGGCATTTCAGGGGTTCCTGCTACTTTCCATCATAGATCTTCTGGTGTTTTTTTGCTGTACAGCCTGCTGTTCTTTCAGTGATTGTTGCTGTTTTGGTTTCCAAGTGTTTCAGAATTAAAAATGTTCTCAGTTCTATCCTTTTTATATATAGAGGTCCAAAAAATTCTGTGGAAGAGAGTTTTGTTCAGAGATGAGAGGCTGTTAGCAAATATTTATTTGATTCCAAATTGTGTGCCCCAGTTTTGCAACGTAGCATAATTTGGGAAAGTGTGTACTGATGAATTGTAATACTTGATATATGTGTAAATGGCATAACCCTTTTATCTTGAGTTCAAAAGTAAAAACAGACTGTATAAAAATCTATTTATTTAAAGCTGAACAGAAAATTTCTTATCAAGCTGGAAAGAAGACTGTTGGATACCAGAAAAAGAATTATTTTTATCCTGTGGTTGAGAGCTTTTTTCCTTTCTGAAGCTTTCACAGAGATGGTGTGAAAACAAACACAGAGACTGATAAATGTTCTTCACTTCAAGAATGTCTTAGTGTAATTCCTCCTAAGATTTTAAAGGCTTCCATAAATATATACCAACTTAACTAAAACTTATTTTTACAACTGGTATTGAGCACAAACCTTTTTGGACACGTTCATGTGAACTTTGCATAATTTGAAACTGGTTTACATTCCATCTGTCTGATTTTAATTGTTATATTGGTTTTGTTTTGTTTGTTGTTTCTGTCTTAAAAGCATCACTGCTTTCAAGACCATGGCTGTGCTCTTTTGAGTGCTGCTTGCTCAGGGTTAGAATAGAAACGACTAATTCAGTTGGAAGGGGCCTACAGTGATCATTCAGTCCCACTGCCCCACCACTTCAGGGCTGACCAAAAGTTAGTGTGTTGTTAAGGGCATTGTCCAAATGCCTCTTAAACACTGACAGGCCTGGGGCATCCACCACCTCTCTAAGGAAGCCTGTCTTGTAGTTTAGTAGCAGACTTTTTTTTTAATATATGTATTTTATTTTTATTTTTTTATTTTATTGTACAGCTGCATCTGTGATATACAGTAAGTGATGGGTTAAAAAAGCAGCCACCATATACTACAGGAGAAGTTGAGTGAAATTGGTTGTTAGTAAAACTTCTCAGGAGATAGAATCAAAGGCAGGGCATGGGACAGATTGGAAGGGGAAATCAGATCATCTTCCTTCTTGTACTGTAGAAATGGAAGTCAATAATTTTTGAAGTAGTTTTGCACAAATACAGATTCATACCCATCTCATGTAGGTACTTCACATTTCAATTAGCAATAATGGAATGTAATTTTATAGCTGGATGTTCAACAAGAATATGTAGATGCCAATCTTCAGTTGTCTTAGGATTTTCCTTGGTCATTATAAACATGTTCAAGTACAACAGAGAAATTTGGCTCTTGCCATAGCAAATAGCTTCTTGCTTTGCACTTAGTTGTTGTGTGTGTTGCCGTTTCTATTACTGCTTATTGCACCCCAGTGAATAGAAATTTCCATCCTTTCCCTACTGTACATGAAGTCCCAGATCTGAGTGATTAGTCCCCACAGAAATCTGAGCTCCATTTTAGGACAAGTGAAGTGGGTTGGCAGATGTCTCCTACTTCCTTCTGCCTTGACATGCTCCAGCATTTGGTGCTATAAATCCATATTTTTTATATTCATACTAATATAATATCTGAAAATGTTTGACTTCTTTGCAATATCCATCAATATAGCAACAAATTTTCATGTTTAGAGGGAAACAATTTTAAAATTATTAGTTAAAGCATGTTTAAGAATTTGAAATACCTATATGTTCTTGGATGCTTTCTGGTTGTGTATTCCTGCAGTCAGGAGGGGGGAAAAAATGTCTGTTCTGTAGTCTGCATTTTGAGATTTCTAAGCCTGTATTATAGAACTTTTCACTGTCATAAACCATTTCTTTGTGGTTTTTTTTTCCCCCCTGAATGGAGTTGGTGCCGTAATGCCACCATTACCTTACCCCAGAATGTGAGTAGTAGGTGATTTTTGTCAGGTGGTGACATTTCACTTAAGTACTCTGCTACCCTCAATGAACTATTTTCAGTACTCCTCTAAGACTGAGGTACTTAGTTTTACACCTGTTACTCCTCTTCCTGGTCTTTTCATGCCCATTATATTTAAAGACTTGTGACAGAAGGAAGATGTTATTTAACAAAGAAGTGGGTGAATATTGCATGTACCAGATGAAACAGTCCTGTTGCAGAGGTGATGCTAGTTTTACAATAAATTTAACCTAAGAAAGGACAGATACTCTGAGGATACTCTGCCTTTTGGCAATTGAACTCGGTTAGCTAAAAGTGAAATTTTGCTCAGTGTGCCATGTTAATCTGATTTCGAGTGAAGGGAATCTTTGTAGTTATTAGATTAAGAAATCCTAGAGGCTGTGTCCTTGTTTGGGCTAAGTAAGAAATGAAGTGACCTCAGGGCACTTCTTCCCCTCCCCTCCATGAGAAAATAGAATGCAGGGACATAACTAGCTTGCCTGCCTCCACTTCAGGAATCCCAGAGGTGTGTAGCTGCTGTCACAAACCTCACAAGGCTCAGAGGCAAGTGTCTTAATTGCATGTTCTCCTTTTCAGTAGTTGCATTTTCCATGTCCAAGCCTCTTAATTATCAGCAAGAATTTGAGATTCCCTGCACCAACAGTTGTGGTCTCTTTCCTTCCTTCCTCCCTCCCTCCCTCCCTCTCTCCTTTTTTCCTTTTTTTTTTTCTTTTTTTTAAAGGACTCTTATGAGTTACTTGGGCCGAGGATTGCAAGCTGAAAATAGTCTCCTGCAGCATAGTAGTAGAGACTGGCTAACTTAACTCTTGTGATTTGAGATTACTTGGTCTTGCAATGAAATACTCAGTTGCTAAACTTCTAAGCTTCTCTCTTTGAACCTACTGGTCTTCAGTCACTTGTTGTGAATATAATTTTGCACTGAAATATACCCAGTAACTTCCTTTCACTATTTGCTAAATCATGTCAACTGCTAGATTTTTTTGACAGTGTAGTGCCAGAAGTTTTTTTGGCTCCCACTTCTATTACTTGCAAAAAAACCCCAAAAGCACTTGAAGGAAAACACTTTAAAACAAAGGAGAGCATTTACCTTGGAAATCACTTGAACGTGTTATCCCTAAGTGAGTGCTTTCTGCCTTTAGGCCATTACACTTTGTTTTCAGTTCAGTTTGTGTATTATGTAAACTTGAAGCTAGTCTCTGTTTTCTGAGTGTTTTCCTTAATGTGTGTTTTGTTTCATTTGAATTCTATTTATTTTCTAATATGTCACTTTTTAGATGTCCCCACATATATTTCAACACAATTTATTTAATTATGAAAGAATGACCATGTAAAGCCCATGTGACAGGGTAGGCTTTAGTAGTGTCATCTTGTGAACAGCTCACTGCTGCTGGTTGATATTATTTGGCAGTGTTGGACAGCTGTCCTGTGACATCTCTGGACTTTCTGGGACAGTAACTGCTGATGACTAGTTAAAAGGGAATGATGAAGGACTGTGACTCATCATGAAAGCAACCTTGGGAAACTTGGTTTTTTTGTGCTGTCCTTCCCTTTATTTGTCAGCTTATTTGTCAGTCAGAATGTGAACATGGCAGGTGTCTCTTACTCCACTCATTTTTGTTAAGATACACCTTGTGATCCTTGCTTTTGGTCTCTGGTCTTTTGTGCCACGGTGGGGGTTTTGGTCACTGGGAATACTGACGTTTAAGTACATGTTATGTGTATAAAGAGTCTTAAGAGATTTTTTCCTCTCAACAGGTGGGAAGGAGAAACCAAAAACCAATGCAGAAGAGCTACAGATTAAAAAAGTTAAGAAGAAAAAGAAAAAGAAACATAAAGAGAATGAGAAGAGGAAGCGTCCAAAAATGTACAGCAAATCCATTCAGACCATCTGCTCAGGATTGGTTTCTGATATTGAGGATCAGGAAACCAAAGGCATCATAGATGATCATCTTAAGGATTTCAGTGGGAAAAATATGGATCCCAAGAAGGACTGTGAGTCCAAGATACCAGAGAACAGTGAGTTTCCATTTGTCTCGTTAAAGGAGCCACGGGTTCAAAATAAACTCAAAAGGTTGGACACATTGGAGTTCAAACAGCTGATTCATATTGAGCACCAGCCTAACGGAGGTGCATCAGTTATCCATGCCTACAGTAATGAACTCTCCCACTTGTCTCCTGTGGAGATGGAGAGATTTGCAGAAGAGTTTGTGGGTCTGGTTTTTAGTGAAAATGAAAACTGTGCAGCTTACTATGTAATGGGTATTGTTCATGGGGCAGCTACTTATTTACCTGACTTTTTAGACTACTTTTCGTTTAATTTTCCCAATTCACCAGTGAAAATGGAGATTTTGGGAAAGAAAGATATAGAGACAACGACTATGTCAAATTTTCATGCTCAGGTAAGAGGTTATACATTTTACTTTCTAAAGTCATATAATGGTTTCAAACAACTGTGAATGGGGATTTTTTTTTAGAGTAGTTGCTATTAGCTGTGCTGTGTGGATGACACAGAAGACTAGAAACAAGGGAATTCTTTAAGTAATAAGTCAGTTCTGCAATATTGAAGATGAGAAGCCTGTTAACTGAGACATAAAATTGGATTTTATGGGGGAGGGGAAGTGTTTGCATGCCTGTGTGTGTAGGTTTCTTTGGATTTGTTTCTGTAGCTGAAGCTTAATTGTGTGAGTTTTGGAGGGTTGAAATGGTTTAGCTGTGGCTGTCTTGGTGTCCAAACTGTAGTTTATCTGTGTGAACTTCATAAAACTGAAATGCTTTAATACAGTGTTATACATAAAACCTGTGTAGGGAAGAATTATTTAGTTGTATTTGTAGTATGAGTCTTCAAAATTGGTTGTTAAAGGACAACTGGGTTGTTAACATGGCTACTGCTTTGGTCCTTAGCCACTTGCATTTCTCTCCACTTGGTTGTATTCTGTGGAAAGCTGTTAAGTTACATGGCAAAATGTCAGCCAGCTTTTAATTAATTTATTTTTTCTTGACTTTCTGGAGGGAAATGACTGTATACTGTCTTAACAACAGCTACTGATTGAAGATCATCTCTGCTATTTATTAACTTGCTGTAGAATATACATTTCTGTTGCATATAAATTATTCATGTTTCAGGTCTTCAGGGGGAAAAAATGTCTAGCTTTCTAAGATTTTCACCTTGATGATGAGGGTATTGTGTAAAGCCTATACAGATACTCCAAAACAACTTATGAAGAAACTCAATGCTGTTTTATTTATATCCACTTTATCTCACATTCACCCATTTAACTCCATTATTTGTGAATTTAGATGTTGTATGGATCACCTTTAAACTGTTTTAGTGTACACTTTTTACACAATTTTGAGGAGTTCAAGTGTAAGTTACACTGTCATCTTTTTGATGAAAAACGTGCTTTTTGCCTTTGGCTACATAAACATTTGTGTAGAACACTTGCATTTATTGATGAATTTCAGGTGTATGTTATCCAGAAGGATATGCAGAACTGAAATGCTGCTGCAAGAGAACATTAGCAGTGCTGGTTAAGAAAATATCTACTGCCATGGGTTATGAATATTCTGTGAACTATAGTCACTGGGGTTTTTTTAGTATGTAAACTGAATCATTAATAATAAAAATCACATGGGCAGCTCTCCAGAGCTGCTCTGTCTTTGGCCATTTTATATAAAAACAGCTGAATCTATCCTTCAGAGTATGTTCCTTAAGTCCAGCCTGTCATCTTGGGCAGCATTAATGCAAGAATAGCTGCGTGCCAGTATCTGCCCTAAAGACATGGTTAAGAAAAGCCCAAATTTTACTGTTGTGAATTATAATAGAATTATTTTACTAAAGGGATAGATTAAATCAGTATTACAATAGTAACATCAAGATCTGTAGTTAAAGCAGTCCAGTGTTCATTGGGTTTGTGATCATAATTCCCATTTTTGTGTAGGTGAAGCAGGAGCAGAGAGAGACCTGTAGAAGAAAGAAGCCAAACTGTATTATTATAGCATTCAACTGGTCAGCTCCATGGTCTGTCTTCTAAGCTGTGTTCTACTTGGCTAGAAATTTAGTTCTGGTATCTCCTTTTCCTTTGTGTTCTCTCAGTTTTTTTCCTTAGTTTTCATGGCATTTTATCTCTTCTTGGTTTGGTTGCTTGACAGACAATGCTTGGCTCCTTATATTTTTGCTAAATAAGGGGTGTATGGAGTATAAATCATGTGTACAAACAAACATCAGACTTACTGTCTTCTGTGCAGCGTCCCTGTTTCTTGGAATATTTAAATTAGTATCTTGGTTACCTAGCTATTGATTCTATTTTTCCTTATAATTTCCTTATTTTTGTCTTTCTTTGGTTGCTTGTTTTGTCCTACTCAGGTGATCTGCTACGGTTGAAATGTTTTGTTAGCTTAGTATTCTCTGTTCTGACTTGCTGTGCAGATTGAGAACATTCTCCTGTATCACTGAGTTCTTTATGAATCTTTCAAAGGAATTCTAATATGCTGTTGCAGTATATTTTTATGAGACTTTAAATGTAGTTTTCTGTTCCTACATTGCCCAAGCTCTGTGCTGTGGTCCTGAGCTCCTTGAGCAATGGCTAACAGTTGTTGTATAGAGTGAATTGTTTTCTGAGGTTTAAATAGGAAGTTGGTTTTATCAAGTCTGCTTTGAGTACGTACCTTGGACTTCATTAGTCTTAAGAAACTTGGGTATTGCTCTGCGAATTTTAACTAAAACACTGAAATGAGGCTAACTGAGGTTCTTTGGTTGTTTTTGAGAACTCACTGTAGCACATGTAATCAGTCTGACAAACCTAAATATTTAAAAATATCTAAAAAAGTATTAAAAAAAGAGAGAAGGATGAGCTAAGCCTGAAATGGAAAGTATTGTTGTGTGTTTTATCAGTTTTTATTTCTGATGTTCATCGTTTTAGTACTACTTGATAATCTTCCACCTCCTGTTTTGTGGCAGGTGAGGTTTTCTCATTTTAAGTAATGCTTATTTTGAAGTCGTTGGGTTCTGTGGCAAGAGGCAGATTTCACAGTGAATTCTGTTGGTGAGGTCAAAATGGTTGGAGCTCTCCTAGGTTTACCTGGAAAGTCTGCATCTTTCAAGTAATTTACTTAGTTTTCATGATTGTAGAGTTGAAATTAAACCCCTCTCACCGCCCTTCCCAATACACCTGTGCCACGAGTAATATAGTTTTACTTGTTAGGTTAGAAGTGAACAGAAGCTTGTGAGAGTAGGTACAGCAGGCACAGGAGTGAGGAAGTTGTATTGGAACTGGTTCTGTCTAATCAGAATTAGTTTTTAAATTTCAGAGGGAGAGGAATTGGGAGTTTTTCCTCACCTAGCTTGGTGCTCGAGTACTCCTTAAAATTTTTTTGAGTTACTGGAATAGCTTTTTGTGAACTGACTGAAAGGCTTAGTCAGACTGTTTCTGTAAGTGGGCAAAATGGAATTAGTCTGGATAACCTTGTAGCCAGTCAGTCAATCCTTCAGGCAGTGGAAAACTGTTCTCTGTAGCTCCATCATCCCTGGGCTCCACCATTTACGTAGATGGCAACAGCTGCATCATCTACCTGATAGCTGTGAATCTTGTCAGGCTCTTAGGAGGATTTTAAAGAATGTAAATAATCAGCTTTTGCCCCCTACTTGCAGCTTACATCACTTCAGTTAAGCTATTTACTTCTGTTGAGAACAAATGCCACTAATATTTTGAACACATTACTGTCCTCATGCTGTGCAAGTGTAAATTTTTATTGCCTTGCTGAAACCCCAGAGCACAAACTTGATGTTTAACTGGAACAATGCTTAGTGCATTGATTTTACTGTCTTGTCCCAGAGGCAACTTCTTAGTACAGATAAAGTAAAATGCTGAGCAATACCCAACAATTCCTGTGTTTCAAGAAAAGATTAACTGTTTTCAAGCCAGATATGACAAATCCTTGTCTGATGTCTTTTGCTGGAGATCTTTAGGTGATTTGACACTTTCCAAAGAAATCTGCTGTAAAACAATTTTTTTCTTATTTGTCCTCTTATCCTTTTATTCTGATCTTATTGGACAAGGCAAACAATTTATCCTTTTCTTTCAGTTTTCCCTATATTCCTTTCCCCTCCCACCAGATGAAGGAATTTTGAGTTATTTCAGTCTACCATTACATGTTACACCCTTATTGGTATTACTGCTCTCCCCTTACGCTCTCTTTAGTCATCCTGGTTGTGTCCTGGGCAGTGTTTGCCTGGTGTATTGATATCAAGGACTGTGAGAAGATGGCTGTAAGTGTCTTGCAAATTATTGCTCTTAGTTATCTATTCCTTCTCTTTTTTCAGAGCAGTTTGTGATCTCCTGTAGCAGCAGCTCCTGTAATTGAGTTACTCCTCTTTTCATGTTTGTGCAGTTCATTATATATGTGTGAGTGTAGTTTTCACTTTTGTTCAAATTGAATTACAACCTTTACATTCAGACCCCTTCTCCAGTTTCAAGATCTTGGTAGTTTTGATCCTCTCCTACAGTAGACTTGCAGCTTTGTGGTACTTGCAGGTTTCATGAGGATACACTATGTTCAAAGGAAAGATATGAAGGATATAATTGATATGATTACATGAGCACAGACAAGACTGCCCCCTCTTTGTTCTTACTAGACCATGTTTTCTGTAGCAGTTTTGAGAACATAATGCAAATGTCAAATGTTGAGATTGTACTGGTCCTCTGAAAAAGCTATCCAGTCACAGAAAAGTTAGTTTGACTTGGCTGGTTTTCTTCACGTCCATGTTTATTAGCTTTTATTATCTTCTTTTCTAGGTGGTTGATGGTTGTATGTAGCTAAGCATTTTTTCTGGAAATTGAGATTAGGCTAAATAGTCTCTAACTCTTCTGTCTTCTCTTGACACCTATTTCTTTAAGAGGGTGTGTTACTGTCTTCCAACCTTGAAGGATTGACTTTGTGGTTTTGAATTAAAATCATAGAATGACCTGCATTGGAGGGGACCTTTAAAAGTCATCCAGTTCCAACCACCCTGCCATAGGCAGGCACATCTTCCACTGGACCAGGTTGCTCAGAGCCCCATCCCGCCTGGCCTTGAACACTTCCAGGGATGAGGCATCCACAACTTTTCTGGGCAATGTGTTTTGGTGCCTCACCACCCTCACAGTAAGAATTTCTTTGTAATATCTAATCTAAACCTGTCCTCTTTCAGTTTGAAGCCGTTCCCTCTTGTCCTGCCCTGTGAATTGTCCCTCTCCAGCTCTCTGGTAGCCTCCTTTAGGTACTTGAAGGTTCCTGTAAGGTGTCCCTGGAGCCTCTTCTCCAGGCTGAACAATCCTAGTCTGTCTGTGAAGGGTCTGTTTTCATAGGAGAGGTGCTTCAGTGCTCTGATCATCTTTGTTGCCCTTCTCTGGACTTGCTCCAA